GGGCGTGAGGTTGAATGCATTGCGGTAGTCGGCTACGGACTCACACCACATTCGACGCGCTTTACCTAAAAAACCCATTTCCGAAAACAAGCCGGATCTTGATCAACTTTTTTCTACGGGGGCAGATTTGGCTGAAAGTTGAGTTTTAGGGGTAATTCGACCTCCTGAACACGAATATCACATCAACTTGGTCTGAAACCGCCAGAATACCCTAGGTCACTAAATCCGCTGAAAACTTGTATACGGAGGTTATTGACATCTTGATTACAATATCACATTCATTTTTGGCGCTGGCGCTGATGGAAGACGCTGCGATTATCTGCGCTCTGGTATGGCTGGCCTGACCTAAAGGAAATCACTCTCCCTCCCAGGCTCAGCCTTAGAAAAGCGCTAAATGGCGCTGGCGTCGAAAAATAAATGTCATATTCGTGATCAGGGCATCAACAACCCCATTATGCAGGTTTTTATCAATTTTGATAAAAAAGGGTGTGGCGCCAAATCAGCGCCTAATGGCGCCAAATGGCGTCAGGGCTAAAAACTAATTCGGTATTCGTGATCAGAACATACAATAACCCTACTATGCAAAGTTACACCGAATTTGGTGGGGCTAATGCCGTTTGGACTCCAGAAATTTCGGCTCCGAGCTCATTTTCAAATTGCCTAAGTCACCAAATCCACTAAAAACTTGTATATAGGGGTAATTCAACATCCTGATTATGACACTCATTCTTGGCGCTGGCGCCAAGAGAGGACACTACGATTACCTCCTGGGCTCAGCCTTAGCAGAGCGCAGGTAACCGTAGTGTCATCCATTAGCGCCAGCGCCAAAAGTGAATTACCCCTAGATACAAGTTTAGCGGATTTGGTGATCTTTCCACTTTTAAAATGAGCTCGCAGCCGAAATTTCTGGAGTCCAAACGGCACAATTAGCCACTTTCGTGGGAAATGTGGCGCGCCAAACTGCCATAGATTTGGCGCAAGGCTTTCGCGCTTGCGCCAAACTATGGCCAGTTTAGGCGCAAGCCGCCCAAAAGGCGTGAGTGCTATTATCATATCAGATACCAGACTACCTCTGTGGGAGGTTTTTTTGACTTTTTGGGGTAGTACTAGTTGAATAGTGCCATTTTATGTTTTCTAGCTGATGATTTTCTAGCCTACAGTGCATTATACCCTGAAATAGTTCACGCTATTGTTACAGCAGCGCAAAACATAAGTCCTCAAAATCGGCTACTAGCGCTTCTTGGCGACGTGTGAAGCCGCGTTGATATGGGCTGTGTTGTCGTAGTCGACTATCGCAAGGCATCAACTTACTCCCCAAACTCGTGTTTCTCAAACCCCTTTCGTGAGGCACTTGCGCCACCTACTGAATACATCGATGATTATTGTGGCGCTGTCGCTGCATGACAGAACGTGAGAAACGATGGGAAAGCAAAAAGAAAACGACACCACACCTTTTGTACATCTCTCTTTGCGGCAAACTCCCTGACGGTCGTGCTCACAACCCAAGTCCTTGCACTCTTCCCATAAATGTTAATTTGGCGTGGCCTCCCACTAAAGTGAATTCGTACCCAACACTAGATAACCTTTAAGCGACCCCGCGATTCCCTGGAGGGGTCTAATGTGTGGCGTAGGTCGTCGACTTGATTTACCATTTCATTGATCCTCTACCGCGATTGCCCACGTTTTCACCATTAGAAATCGCAGAATAAATGAACTTACTTCCAAGATATTGAATGTATACTGTATACAAAAATGTATACAAGTACAGAGCAGGGCGACCAACAGCCCAACCACTTGGATATTCATTCGTGTGTCCCGATGCCGCCTGAAATTGCTATAGATTGAAGGAAAAAACTCCTCATAAAAAATTTTAATGAGAACTCACAGATGCACAGAGCTTCTCCGAATGGTGTTAATAAGAATACCGTATGCCACGGCGCAAATTATACTGGCTACTAGTGGTATCAATGCCGCTTTCATGTAGTGCACCTGAACTTGATTCAATTTTAAAATGGACACTTTTGCGTTCAAATATACTCCACATCTCGGAAATAGGGTTTCTGACTGCGAACTCCATCGAAGTCTGGCACGGGATGCATTTTTCGTGAAATATTTCCATTTGAGACATGGGCCAGGCGCCGGGCAAAGGCTTGACTACAACTGTCACCAAATGGCAGCAGCAACTGAAAGTGCTCCCATTGCCACGCTCAAATGCAGTATGCAGCCACGCCCTCCCCATTTCCGGGATATTGAGTGCATGTACGTGGCATGCGAGGTGGCCCACATATTCAACAAGATCCGACAGAGCGAAACCCGATCCACAGTCTAGATATCCACGGCCCTACTTCAGACCTTACTAATGTCTTCTGCCTTGCACCATTCAACCCTAAGTTCGTTGTTTAGCATATTAAACATCAAAGACTTTTTCCAGAGGGATTTGAAGCTGAATGGCTTGCATCTTCGTGCTCAGGTGAATAACCCACAACTAGGGCACCTTCCAGCCATGGGCCCTTTCGTTACATACGATCCCACCCTTGACTTTTCCTCTCTGGTACGGTCCCCATTCGTCAAGCGACCGATCGTCTCATTAACGCGTTCCGGACCGCGTGACACACATGGTGCGTCATGCATTCTTCTCTCTGCACCGTTTCCTGTAGTCTATTTGGCATGTTCATGCCCAACACCTGCTAAGGTATTTTTACGGGGAGGGGTAGCTGTCCAAGTGGTAAATTTGAAAATTACCAATAGGACCGGTATAGACATAAATAGACTAGGGAGTCTTATAGGGTATTGCTTTAGCCGTAACCAAGATGGTATAAAAGTTTTATTGGCTAACGTTTCGGCGCCTTATCGCCTTCGTCAGAGCCTGGAAAAAGTCAAAAATCAAAGTGAAACTACCCTCGGAAATCATTTCAAACCTCAGATAAGCTAGTCCCAGACCAGTAGGATCCAGAAAGTCATAGAACACAACCACAAACGACTCACCTTTAATGCACGACCGGTTCTTGTTTGAGACCACCGCTAAATAGACTCCCCGTCGGTGGCTTCAGCTGACCTGACCGCTCTACTTGATGCCGATGGCAACTGAAGCCCACACAGGTCAGCAAACGGGGCGAGCTCGTTTGTGATGGTCAGGCATTCGTCCTTTCTATTCATTCTGGGATTTTTAGCGCTAATCCAAAACGCTTCCAAAGTTTTGCGCGCCGAAGTCTGTGGTTCTCGCATCAAAATCCTATGACTTTCTGGATCCTACTGGTCTGGGACTAGCTTATCTGAGGTTTGAAATGATTTCCGAGGGTAGTTTCACTTTGATTTTTGACTTTTTCCAGGCTCTGACGAAGGCGATAAGGCTATGGTGAGGTAGACCAGGAGTGTTGGAAGATCAGCTTTTTGTACAAGTTCTGCTGCTGTGGATCTCAAGACTGAAGTCGTAGGCATGGCACATTCTCGAATGGTTAACGGTAAGCGTTCTCGGATTGCCACCACACATGCGAGTACAAGTTTTGAGCCCGTTTCCTCTTCCCGTTCCACTCTCCCTTCCCTCCCAATTTTCTATCTAATTTAAACCCTGCGATTTTTTCTTTGCAGGTCATGCATCTCCGTCGATTGGTCTTCAATGTCGTACTCAAGTTCGCAGTGGGTTGTAGGACCTTTAATCGGCAGAGATGTTTCGCGAGGTAAATGGGGGGGGGGCAACTGATGCAAAGATACCACCGTGGCTGACTGCTTCGGTAGCTGACTCTAGAATGGGAAAGAACAACGGTTTCTTATAGTCCTTTCAGATCAGTATTGATCAGTCAATAAGCGTCGTAGGAGTGCTCGACTCGATTGCCGAATGCCGTTGTTCATGACACTATGCTACTGCTACTGTTGTCCTTTTCCGCAATTTTGATACTGTTCGAAGACTGCTTACTTTTTTATCCATTTTTTCAGAAATCTCACCATTATCACTGATGTCCTTTCTATTAATTATTGCTTATTGAGCTTGCTAACACTCTCGAAGACAGCTTCCGCGGTTATAATTTCCAGCATTGTCGCTTTAGAGCTGCAGTGTAAGTATTGTTAACTAAGCAGTCAAGAAACCGGTTACTTTTAAGAACGCCGCAAATAAGGCTCTCTTATTGCAGTTGATTTGTATCGTTGAGCGAGCATGCAGAGAAGCGACAGTCGAAGAGACACTGTTAGCTCAGGCGAGAAACCAGAGACGAAGGATGAGAGATCATAAGGGCGAGGGAGACGACAGACACCAACATAATTGTCATTGGCGTCCATTCCATGGCTAACGACGGCCCCAGCGCTCTTGTTTCGAGAAGTGGTGCAATTTTCACGATAGCGCATCGGCTTATCTTAAACGAAGAAGGAGCTCCACCTATGAGGTAATCGCTGGAGAGCTTTTTTAATTCTTTCTCTTCGGATTTCAGTAGAAGTCCGAGTTAGTTTACAAAAGGATTTTTCCAGAGCGCCATGACGCTTAGCTGTTTGGGCATGCTACCTAAGGACGAGATTCGAATCGAAGAAAATCCTCAACCTTTATAAGATTCCGCAAGGAACAGCAACGGCTCTGTCTGGAGTTTGTGACGGTCTGCGAACAGTGAGTCAAATTTCTTTTCGAATTTTTAGGGCAGAATGATAGAGCCTTCCAGAAGTATGGGGTGTATGCATTACACCGTGTACATTATTCTTGGTAAAGGTAAAGGGTAAAGTTAAGTGGGCCATATCATAGTTCTTCAGCTATTTGGCTGTCTATTGTTGTGTAAAAAAGAGGTACTATTGCCAAAAATCGGTGTCACGTTGACAATCAATGTCAACATCAAATGCTGCAATGTCACTACACCCTGTACATTGCCCTTGGGTGACGCGGCAAGGTAACTGTCAGATTCCATAGAAAG